GATAAGCCTCTTTAATATACACCAATCAGCCATAACATTATGCCCACTGACAGGTGAAGTAAGTAACATTGTTTATCTTGTTACAATGGCACTGGAAGTGGGTGGGATATATTAGGCAGCAAGTCAACATTTTGTCCCTGAAGTTGATATGTAGGAAGCAGAAAAAATGGGCAAGTGTAAGGATTTGAGCGACTTTGAGAAGAGCTGAATTGTGATGGCTAATTACATATGATCTTGGCGGCTGTATAGCGATCAGTTGTACTAAACGAAGCAGCTGTACATTCTACATCCGAAACAGGACTAAATGTAGAAGAGAAACACTCGCTCGGCGCTGTCCCCGGGCGTCGGGCGATAGGAATTCCACGCCCCTGGAACTCTGGAACTTGTCACTAGGACATATGACTGCACATCATCTCAGGGGAGAAAAATGCCCCTCCTGAGATCTCATGAGATTACAGATGAGATTTCCCAGCAATGCTCCGCTGATGTAACCTTCCCAGGATGCAATACCTGGGCACAATTACATCATTTGCCAAAGCAAAGTGGGAAAGGAAGTGGGGAAAAGAAATTGTAAGTTAAAGAAAAATATGTTTGTTTAAAGAAGAACTATGAGGTGAGTGAAGATCACTCATCCTTACAGTTCGAGCCAACGTGTGACAATGAAGCTGTTACAGGTCGGCTCTATTGATTGGGAAGTGAGCGAACACATACCGCCGCTCGCTCACTTTCTGATCATCTCCCTGCAGAGAGCGGTGCTCCCTGATCATCTCCCTGCAAGTATTCCCCCCTCCCTGATCCTCCAGCACTGACTGGCGAAACAGACAGGGGAAGGCAGCACTTACTAAAATTGATTTTTTTCAAGTAAGCTTTGATTGCATTATCAAAAACAACTCTAATATGTATTCCTATTACAATGCTGAAGTTATAACAGGATATGATATGCTGGGACTACAGAACTCCTTTAAGAAGATAATGGTTATTATCACATAAGAGTGTCCTTGAAAATCATTTTTTAAATGTCAGTGACTGCAGAGCGATGTGTGCAGATGGAACATTCTCCTCCAATAACACATGCCCAGGGTGCTTTCTTACAAGGCCACACATACACAAGGACAAGGGCATTCCCCTGCAGCAGCAATCTAAGCACAATAAAACAAAGCACCTATTTAATGTCTGAGGCCCATAATTATCCGCAGAAGGAATGCAGTGTCCCCTGTTCTTCAGTGTGGATGTTTTTGATGATCTCTGTGCAATAGGGCACAATGGCCTAGAACAAGCTGCATACGAAGCAGTTTACTGTAATATAACTTCTTGTTACACTGGCATAGAACATCATTGACAGAGCAGTGTACAAGCACACATCCATACTGTGACTATTCCAGTTTTCAGGTGACAGTTGTATTTTGTTTTAGGGTACACAGAGGAATAGGGACTGGTGTGTCCCATTCACCATCTATTGGCAGCCACCTGTCCTTCGTGTCTGCCAGTTCCCACGCTAGTGTCCTTTTGCTTGGCTTGGGTTCACTGTTGTTATGAAGTCTAATTATAAAAAAAATTACATAGCTATTAGTCTAGTGAAACTGCATGGCCATCCATTCTGTGTGAATTCATCATCTTTTTTGAGAAAACAGAATGTTCTTAGGCTTATTTCCTTTCTGGTGGAATGTTCCTCTGATATTGTGGGCATTAGTAACAATAGGTTCATTTATAAAGTGAATTGGGAAAATACCACAAAATGGCCACTAGGTGGAGCTGCTGAGCATCATAGGAAATAAAGACCTCTTGCGGTAGTAACAAGAGATACAATGTAATCATTCTAGGGCCCTGTCACACCATGTCCGGACCAAATCTGCACATGTTTCGGCAAACGCGGTGCATTTGTGCTGCGTTTGACACGTTGCAGCGCTTTTTTGTTTTACGGGTAATGTCATTATGCAAATGAATCTCATCCTGCTCCATGTCATAGCTTCTGTTGCGTTCCAGTGTGGTGCGTTGCATTTGTGACGTTCTGGTGCGTTCCAGTGCATGAAAAATGTGCCATGCAGCATTTTTTTTCCTGCACTGGAACGGACTGGACTGGTGTGAGCAGAGCCCACAAATCAGATACAAATGCATTGGAATGCATTTTTAGTGCGGAAGAAAAATGTAACATACCGGATGTGATCTGGACATGGTGTGAATGGGCCCTGAGGGAATTAGCAGATAAATCTAACTTTGCTTCATATTATTATTATTAGCAGTATTTATGTAGCACCAGCCAGTTACGCAATGCTTCACACAGTGCACATTCACATCGGTCCCTGCCCTCAAGTAGCTTACAATCTAAGGTCCCTATCTCACATACATACATACAAACGCTGAACTGTAAAAAGTTCAGCGTTTCCGTGCGCACGGAGAATGCAAACACCATATGTGAATGGAGCCTAAAGGTGCCCATACACCTTACAACCATCGCAAGACTTAAGCTTATTAAAAGCTCGTACGATCTGCCCATCTTGGACAGGCAGCTCGTACTTGCGATCATCCGATGACCGCAGTGAGGGGCGGGCTTCCGATCACTGCAAACGGGCAGTGTGCACCCCTAGAATCGTACGATTCTCGGCGGGTTTTCAAGCCTGCTTGTTCGACAGAAGACGTGCAACCGTACAGTAGAAACAGTTGCACACCTTCCATACACTGTACGATTATCGTACGATCGCGGGATTTCCCACGATTCTCGTACAAGAATCGTACAGTGTATGGGCACCTTAACACTTGGGGGTTTAAGTCATTTTCAGGCCTAACATGTAGATTATAATGTGTGCATAAAATGCTCGGGCAGCGAAATGGTTAAAGGGAACTTTTTTGCCCTATTAGAGGGTTTTCTTTGCTCGCTCTCGGCGGCCTAATAGAGCAGCAGCGGGGCCGAGGAAAGGTATGTTTTGCTGGGAACCGGGACATTAAAGCCGTCCTCTTGGACAGGTTTGCTCTGAACAACTCCGATAGATGTTTATCTGAAAAGACTGGCTGCTGTAATAAAACACATTAGCTAAACACCCAGATAAATGAAGTTGGGCTACGATGGTGAAGGAGCTGGGTAATTGATTTCTGACAGCTCTCGGGGGCATTAGGAATGGATTTTCATTGGGCCAATGACAGGAAAATGTTCCCTTTTGGGAATGTTGAAAGAGGATGGAAGACTGCGTAATGATGCAGAGCTACAGACGTACCTCCACGATGATACATTTATGTGATGGGCACAGCTGCCTTTGATGTATCTCATTCTCAACTTCTGTATTCTTCTAGCGGAGTGAACTGGGTTCTCTTGGCATTTGAGAACAACTGTTTACTTAGCATGTCATTTCTGAAATATTTTCTGTGCTTCGCCATATGTACACCCGGGGTTGTGGTGGATTGTCAAATTGCTTCTGCTCTTTGAGTGTTTAGGAACGTACTATTATCTTTGACAGGCTCAGCAGCTCCCATTCAAGTAATACTAAACCATTACAGCTGATAAATGTCACCGAGAAACACAAAGTATACTTTGACTTGAACAAAATGTCTCTAAACTGTTGTTCATTTGTGTTTACTTCTAGTATATCGGCCCATTTCACTTTCCTTTTTAAAACCATTGATCAGAAAAGACAAATGGTTTTCAGATGCGTTTAGGTGCTGTAAAGGTTTGTTCCCAGCTTCACGGCTGAAACCCTGCGTTATGGTGATATTAAAGTTGAAATGCTTTTAAGCTGTTTGAAATGCTGATAAAGTATCCCACAATGGATGCTGCTCCTTGATGTTGAAAAGTTTTTGTTTCCTGCAGAATCATCTGGTCCCCTGAGCAGTGGCCCTGATATCACCGATACCGAATACCAATACCAGAAATCCCATTCAGGAAGCCAGGCGGCGTGTAATGACTCGCCACCTGGCTTCCTGATTAGCCGGGCAGCGTGTAAAGACACGTCACCAGGCTTCCCGATTAGCAAGGAAGCCATCTCCATGCTTCCTCGTCACCAGTTGACGAGACAGCATGGAGCCGGCTTTCTGGTCAATCGGGAAGCCGGGCATCGTGTAATGATGCCTTGCCCGTCTTCCTGATTGGTCGAGAAGCTGGCCAGTAGGGAAGCCAGGCAACGCGTCATTACACAGCGCCCGGCTTCCTGATTGGCCGGGAAGCCGGTTCAATGCTCCCTCGTCACCAGGTTGACGAGACAGCATGGAGCCGGCTTTCTGGTCAATCGGGAAGCCGGGCATCGTGTAATGATGCCTTGCCTGTCTTCCTGATTGGTCGAGAAGCTGGCCAGTAGGGAAGCCAGGCAACGCGTCATTACACAGCGCCCGGCTTCCTGATTGGCCGGGAAGCCGGTTCAATGCTCCCTCGTCACCAGGTTGACGAGACAGCATGGAGCCGGCTTTCTGGTCAATCGGGAAGCCGGGCATCGTGTAATGATGCCTTGCCCGTCTTCCTGATTGGACTGATATGGAGTCTTCGTGCTGGTGACATCTGTGTTTTAAGTTCCACAAACACACAGGCACAGCAAGGCAAGCTGCCTCCCACTCCAAGATAGTTGATGGACAGCTGTTGAAAACTGTGCTGTCCCTTGTGATCTTGTACTGGACAGGAAGTTCAAGGAAGCCAAGCTGAGAGACTTAGATCCAGCTGTTTGGAAACATGATGACTGCAAGTGCTTGGGAAAACATTAAAAGGCATACATTAGTGGGCAATGTGTATTTGTTAGATCTGGATTAATTATTAGAGTTTAATACTTCTTTAGGGAAGTTCCATAGTTTTCTAGCGGAGCAGCAATTTGTCTTCTTTACTAGATATCAGATGCTAAGCTTATCTCAATGCGGCCGATATAAAATACCCCCATTTAACCAAGGTTTATGATTTTCTTTTCTAAGATCCTTACAGGCTCTAGCCAGGTAAAAATAATAACTAGCCTTGCAGTGGGGCTACCCCAATAAATGTACAACTGGAGAACGGATAACTAATACTAATTGTATGTTTTTATTACTTTCAGACATCTCCTTTTCTGACCGGCTACAGCAGGACGCGCCATATTTAAATAACAACCGAAAACTGACTGAGTTGATTGTGGACAGGATTATTTTGCAGCTAAATCGTATCTATCCTCAGGTTCTGTCAAACAAGGAAGCTGAAAGGGTACAGTAGTATTATGTAACTATCTGTTCATGCATGCGCTATTTGTTTCTATCTCACCGCACAGCGGGCATTGTTGTGCCATGCATTCTGGTGCGGCCGATCGCACTGCAGACTGGGAGACAGGGCTGCAGTGCCATTGACTTGAATGCACCACCTCGTTCCCTCTGGCCCCAGGACGCAGGGAGGCTGTAATTATGCGATCCAGTGCATCCCAGCAACTAACCATGCTGGAACGCACTGGAATTGGTGTGAAGCAGCCCTAACTGAACTGTCACATTAGCAAAAATAAAACTAAGCAAAGTCTTTGGCTTTTTAGGATAGATGCATCCAGGGATAGTGATCTATTCCTAACCGCATGTAATCGTATCACATACGATACGATTTACATGCAGAGTGCTGGTGGACTGCCATTTTCAAATGCGGCCACTGTCACCCAATCATTATCAATATGTTACAGGTGACAGCAGCTGCTTCTAAACAACATATTTGGGATTCCTGCCACAGTGCACATTCATGTGTAGTGTGATGTAAGTCTAACAGTTCCTTTTCTTTAGAGAACCACCACATCCTGAGTAATTATCCCCCTACCAGCATGCTGTAGAGGAGGTTCTTTATTCTCTGTGTGAAAGCAGTAGTATCTCTGAAGTGGTCTGACACACCCTGTACGAAGTCAAAGCTAGAGCTCTCCAATCGGCAGCAAGCGTAAGTCTTGTTACTTGCACAGCTCTAGGTCTGACTCAGCAATGGGCATGTTGGACTTATGCGGAGAGACCACTGCTTTCACGCATAGAGTAAGAGTCCTTCTCTGCAGCATGCGAGCAGTGGACAGGCTTTTTTTTTTTTTACTGAGGCCGTGGCTGCTTCCTAAAGAAAACAAACTGTAAAGCTGCCCATACACCTTACGAATATCGGCCGATTCTCATATGCGATCGCGTTTTCGCCCGATATTCGTAAGGTTGATGGGCTGTGTAGAACCGCAAATACTGTACAATTGATCGACTTTTGACTAACCAGCAGGTCAGAAAACTTCGGTCGAACGTACGATTTTCGCAAGGTTGGTGGCGTTTCCGTATGTCAACATTTGTACAATTTACACTGCTCATGCACAGACGAAAATACGTGCAGTCGATTACCGCAATTCGTCCAGGTGCTTTCTTTTCATTACTGCTGATTCAACTTTGCGATAATCGGGGCAGGATGGGGCCGCCGTACGAAAATCGTAGGGCAGTTCGATCATCAGACGAAAGGTTTTGTCCGATAATCTTAAGGTGTATGGGCAGCTTAAGACTTTACAGAATTTTTGTTTTGATGCACTTGAAATGTGTTTAGCTGATTTAAATGGAAAGTTCATTTGGGCATTAAAGCAACTGACACTTTGAGTAATGAAAAGGCTACTAACGGGTATTAAGTGCAGGCACTCAGAGGCACATACTGGGCTTGAAGCAGCATTCAGGACCTCATCAGTCAATCACAAACTGGGGTAATTGTTGTTAATGGAAGACTGATACTTTCAAGGCTTCTCCTAGGCTTTCAAGGCTTCCGCTCTAGGTGTCATCACCTAGAGCGGAAATTTATCTTCAAAGTGCTTAATGGAGAACTATGAGGTGAGTGCTTTTCACTCATCCTCATAGTTCCAGCCGACTTGTGACAATGAAACTGTCACAGGTCGGCTCAGTAGATCGGGAAGTGAGCGAACACATACCGGGGTTCGCTCACTTCTCGATCCTGTCACTGCAGAGAGCCGTGACAGTGGAGGGACTGGATTCCCCCCTCCCCGCTCCGATCCGCCAGCGCTGACTGGCTGAACAGATGGGAGAGGGGGGGCGGGTCCAGCTGCCTCTGCCTCTAGATAGGCAGAGCCAGCTGTCACTCACGCAGCTGCGCTGATCCAGACATAATTGCGGGGATCCGTTTCAGCTGCGGCGTCTCAGCTCGCGGTATACTGAGCCTAGGGTGATGGGAGGAGCTAGTTTGTGTCCTCCCGTTACCCTAAGGAGAACTATGGGGAAAAGGCCTGACTCCATAGTTCTCTTTTAATATTATATCGTCAATATATTGTACTGCTTTGTTCAAAGACCGTCTCTTCAGATCTTAGCAAACTATAAGACGTTAGGATTGCCAATGGTTACTGGATAGTATATCTATGAATGAGTGTCTGGCAAGTCTAAGTTTTCTCATTTACAGTTTAGGAGCCTGAAAATTCCTCTGCGCACTCGGCTGGTTGACCTGTTGAAGAATCTCCAGAAAAAAGGGGAACGAGAATGTCAGGAGTTCTACAGGGCTCTACAGAACAATGCAGACAAGATTTATGCCACATTGCCAAGCAGAAGCAGCCTGAGTAAGTTTGAGGTGATTTCTGTATTCTGTACTGTGTCAACAAGGAGTACTGGGTACTGTAGATAAGCAAAGAAGAAAAAGTGAAAGATGTGTTATACCAAGTTGTACAATTGTGTGCATGTGTTCAAACTGGGCGCCTAAGACCTGCCATTAAAAAAGCCTCCAAAAACGACCCCTTTTCTGTAGTACACATCCTCGGGTGCGTTTACTCACAGTCACCACTCCTGTCCACACCCTCATCTTCTGATGCGTTTACTTGCAATCACTACTTCTGTCCACAGCCTTATCCTCTTGTGCGTTTACTCACAGTCACCACTTCTGCCCACAGCCTCATCCTCTTGTGCGTTTACTCAGTCACCACTCCTGTCCACAGCCTCATCCTCTTGTGCGTTTACTCAGTCACCACTCCTGTCCACAGCCTCATCCTCTTGTGCGTTTACTCACAGTCACCACTCCTGTCCACAGCCTCATCCTCTTGTGTGTTTACTCTGTCTCCACTCCTGCCCTCATCCTCTTGTGCCCTCATCCTCTTGTGCGTTTACTCACAGTCACCACCCCTGCCCAAAGCCTCATCCTCTGGTGCATTTACTCACAGTCACCACTCCTGCCCACAGCATCATCCTCTGGTGCGTTTACTCACAGTCACCACTCCTGCCCACAGCATCATCCTCTGGTGCGTTTACTCACAGTCACCACTCCTGCCCACAGCATCATCCTCTGGTGTGTTTACTCACAGTCACCACTCCAGTCCACAGCCTCTTCTTCGGGTGCGTTTTCTCACAGTCACCACTCCTGTCCGCAGCCTTAATCTGGAAAAAATAGAATCACCTTGCATACTGTTACAAACGTTTCTTACCCCTGATGATTGGCCATTTGCCTCACTTGCCTTCAAGGGTTAATTTATATTAGGAACAGATGAAAATACATTATGATGTTAAGTGCATGTATGCTAGTAATGTCGGGTAGAATTGATTTGAACCTAGATCCGAATAGTAGGTGTCACACCGCTGAAAATTGTAGTTTCAAGAGACGGAGAGTGGGGTTTTGAGAGCACCAAAAGGAAACAACTCCATAAAACCATGAATCCTATAAAAGTTATTTTTTAATTGAAAAAATGAATTTTAAAATGCTGGATCAAAGATCCAATAATTAAAACATATAGTCAGCTGAGTAATATAGCTCCCTATCGGTTCACTCCATAGATAAACCTTCCAAACAACATGATTCTGTGACACATGAAAATGAATAGGCAGGGTACATGATTGAGTAGCAATAGTCAAAGGATAAACAACAATTAATCATAAACATAATTTGCAAAAAATGGTGATGCTGGAAAGATGTTGTACAATGATAAAAGGAAAAATGGAGGAACCGGTTCGTTCAACGTTTCGCGCACACAGGCGCTTCTTCAGGAACAGGAGAGTATCTATACATTTTAAAGAAACAAGGGGCAACAATAAGCGTAATCTATACATTCATGGTTATATATGAAATGAAAATGATACATAAGGTGAGATTATCACCTACCAATTTATATAGGCTCATGTGTCTATATCTGGACGGGTCTGTCCAAGCAAGGCACCTGCGCACTCCCCCTAATAGCGGGATGGGTGATGTGTGAGCCAAATCCCAGTATTGAGCCAGAGGTGGAGGGATAGGACCAGTAATAAGAGGTCTAGAGGAAATGAGCAAAGAGGCATAGTCACTGGCCAAAATGCAATTAATATAGAAATGAAAATTCATATATATGTGGAGGAGATATCCTCCAGTAAATACGAAAAAACTTAATATAATATAAGGGTCACAGCGGCCAGTGGAACTTACATGTAAAAGATGGGGTAGTCCGAGCGAATGGTTCGCCTGCCAAAAACGTGGGATACTGGGATTTGGCTCACACATCACCCATCCCGCTATTAGGGGGAGTGCGCAGGTGCCTTGCTTGGACAGACCCGTCCAGATATAGACACATGAGCCTATATAAATTGGTAGGTGATAATCTCACCTTATGTATCATTTTCATTTCATATATAACCATGAATGTATAGATTACGCTTATTGTTGCCCCTTGTTTCTTTAAAATGTATAGATACTCTCCTGTTCCTGAAGAAGCGCCTGTGTGCGCGAAACGTTGAATGAACCGGTTCCTCCATTTTTCCTTTTATCATTGTACAACATCTTTCCAGCATCACCATTTTTTGCAAATTATGTTTATGATTAATTGTTGTTTATCCTTTGACTATTGCTACTCAATCATGTACCCTGCCTATTCATTTTCATGTGTCACAGAATCATGTTGTTTGGAAGGTTTATCTATGGAGTGAACCGATAGGGAGCTATATTACTCAGCTGACTATATGTTTTAATTATTGGATCTTTGATCCAGCATTTTAAAATTCATTTTTTCAATTAAAAATTAACTTTTTATATGATTCATGGTTTTATGGAGTTGTTTCCTTTTGGTGCTCTCAAAACCCCACTTTCTGTCTCTTGAAAACGCTAGTAATGTCGTCATTACAGAGATCACAGTACTTCACCTGAATATGGCTTCATCTGCCCTTCTTCCCAGAAGGATAGTTACATAGTTACATAGTATTTGAGGTTGAATAAAGACATTAGTCCATCAAGTCCAACCTATTAGGATCTCATTCTAGGAGTACCCGTACCCCTGTATATTACGGTCCCTTAAGAAATCGTCCAAAAGTTTCTTGAACAATTCCACATTCTTTGCTGAAATCACTGTCTGTGGCAGTGAGTTCCAGACTAACCGCTCTAACTGTGAAGAACCCCCTATGGCACCCTCATAATTGTATAACCCATTTGTTTATTTTTAATTCCAATGTGCATTACTTTGCATTTATCGACATTAAACCTCATCTGCCACATTAATGCCCACTCCCCTATTTTATCCAGGTCCTCCTGTAATGTTATAGTGTCTAAGTCCGTGTCTATTACCCTCCCTATTTTGGTGTCATCCGCAAACACGGAAATATCGCTGTTAACACCCTCCCCGATGTCATTAATAAATAAGTTGAACAATATGGGACCCAGCACAGAACCCTGAGGCACACCGCTCATTACACTAGCCCAGTCTGAAAAGGTGCCATTTACAGATACCCTCTGGACACGTTCCCGTAGCCAGTTCTCTATCCAAGTACACACCACCTCATCTATGCCCATAGCTCTCTACTTGTGTAGCAAGCGTTTGTGTGGTACCGTATCAAAAGCCTTTGAGAAATCCAGATATACCACATCTACCGGCTTACCTCCGTCCATATCTCTACTTACCGCCTCATAAAAAGTTACCAAGTTAGTTAGGCAGGAATGATCTTTCCTGAACCCGTGCTGATTGTCAATAACTATCCCGTTTTCCTGAACAAATTCTACCAGGTAATCCTTTATTATGCCCTCTAGCATTTTAACAGGATGGCATCTAGCAGGATGGTACTATCCTTGTTCAAGCATGCAAAGTCAGCATCTACTTCATAGACTAAAGCAGTAGAACACAAATGGTTGCATCAAGCTAAAATTTACACTTAGGCCTAGAGGGACAGGGGGCATTGGTTCTGTAGATACCACGAGGCACCAGCTTAGGCTGTAGTGATTAGCCAAGTTTTCATAGCCAGTATGATCGCCATTTCCTTAATGAACCTTGACCAGAGTGCTGTTAGATGCCAACAGATGATTAGATCATCCTCTGATCTAACCCAAATGACTAAAAATATGATACTGATGGGCAGCATATTTTGCTGGTTTTTATAGCACATTGACAACATTATTATTGGCCCAGGATACTCCTCTCGGGGACAACTTGAGACAATGTGGCTCGATGCTTTTGCTTGAGTGGAGCTAAAGGACTTTTTAGCTATAAAAATGATACTGCTGATGCATGTTTTGACAAGTCAGGAATTTTTCTATAATAGCTTTGCAAAGTTGCTGATCGCTCTGCTTTGATAAGTACATTTTGCATTTTCCAGATATCTCAGATCCTGTAGAAATCTGTCCAGACGAGGGGAAACTTATCCTCAATGACCGAGGTTAGTATGTGTGTGTGTGTGTGTGTGTGTGTGTGTGTGTATACAGTATTTATAATATATATATACTTCCTGGCCAAAAAAAAGTCACGCACTCCAATATTTAGTTGGACCACCTTTAGCTTTGTTCATGGCATGCATTCGCTGTGGTATCATTTCCATAGGCTTATGCAATGTCACAACATTTATTTCCATCCAGAGTTGCATTAATTTTTGACCAAGATCTTGTAGTGATGATGGGAGATTTGGACCACTGTGTAAAGTCTTCTCCAGCACATCCCAAAGATTCTCAATGGGGTTAAGGTCTGGACTCTGTGGTGACCAATCCATGTGTGAAAATGATGTATCGTGCTCCCTGAACATCACAATATGAGCCCGATGATGATGTCATCTAGAAATATGCCCAATGTGCCATCAGGGAAGAAAAAATAAATTGATGGAAAACCTGGTCATTCAGTATATTCAGGTAGGCAGGTGACCTCATTTTTTGGGCATAAAGCATTGCTGAACCTGACCAACTGAAGCAACCCCAGATTATAATACTGCCCCCACAGGCTTGGCATGATAAGTGCATCACTTCATCTGCCTCTCTGATGCGCCCATTACTTCTAGAACAGGTTAAATCTGGACTCATCAGACCACATGACCTTTTTTCCATTGCTCCAGAGTCCAATCTTTATGCTCCCTAGGAAATCAAAGCTTTTTTTTTTCGGATTAGCTTCACTGATGAGCGGTTTTCTTAGTTTAGTCCCAATCCCTTGAGTTCTCTTCACATTGTGTGTGTGGAAATGCATTAACTTTCACTATTAAACAAAGCCATGAGTTCTACTTGATTTTTTACGATTTGATTTCACCAAACGTTTAAGTAATCTTTAAATCATTCAGGATTTTTTTCCGACCACATTTCTTCCGCGAAGATGATGGTACACCACTATCCTTCCAAGTTCTGATAATGTGTTGGACCAGGGGCGGACTGACAACACATGGGGCCCCCGGGC